GAGAGAGAGAGAGAGAGAGAGAGAGAGAGGGAGAGAGAGAGAGAGCAGACGACATAAGATGCCATCAGCGAGTGTTGCTATGCCGTGGCGGGGTCCACTTGTTTTATTAAACAAAAAAAAAAAGCTAGGGGTACATGCTCTTATCATTATCCCTAGCTGGACCTTCAGGATTTTTTTGTTCAAAAAAAAAACGGAAGGGTAAAAATTTACTGAAAAATACTAAAAATCATTAAAAAATGACCCAATCGAGGGCTGTGGTGGTTGAGGTTTACATATGTGAGAGATAATGTGACTATACTCTTTGGGCTTATCACTACATTCTTTCTGAGATTGTGGACCATGTTAATTCAAATTTGTGCCAAATAGGTGTTTCCATAGATCACTAGCTCTTGCCCAAGTACTATGAGGCCTCTCTACACCTGATTAGGCACTGCATGACATCCTCCTAGCACACAGCACAGGTGGAGAAACTGTTTGGGTCACTATTTCTTCTCCTGCTACGGAGCCAAAGATTGATTGGGAGTGCAATATAGGCTATCAACCAGTGCAGGCTTCTAGTCCTTACAAACCTTGTTGTCTTTAACTTTTTCCATGGTACTTCAGAGGAAAGGAAAAAAAGAAAAAGAAAAAAAAAAGCATGACAGATGGAAAGTAGGCACTTTTAGCTGGAACCTAGTAGCCTACCCCTTTCTGCATGCCTCTCGATCGCCGATCCTCACATCTTCAATACAAAATAGAAAAAACAGCAGTGTCTTACAGTGACAACGGCCCACCTCTGAGCCCTAATAGTCAATGGCTGGCCAGCCATGACCACAACTTGTTTTAAGTCGCATGCGGTAAAACGGGGTTTTGCTGGCGGTGCTTTATTTACAGACAGACCAGTACACGTCTCAAAGGACTGGCCAGACCGCAGATACTTCTACAGCGCAGCAAAGGTGAAAAAGACTTTCAGCCCATGCATGCGTGATCTACTTCCATGACCCGTGTTTCATTCTCCCAGGGCACTTCACGGGCACCACCCTGCTTCCACCAGATTGCGCCAGAAGAATGCCGACTCTCAAGATAGAGCGCTCTCTCTCTCCTAACCAAGAGAGGACTCTTAAGAAAGGAGTCACTTCCTCATTGAAAACAAGCGAACAAAGGACGGTAGATTAGGTTAGAGAATGTACCTCAAAGGCTCAAATGCTGCCCCCAACCACAAATTTCTCATCATCTGTGACAACATGCATTCCGTTGACCGGTCGGAGCTTTGAAACCACCTTCACAACAATGCAAGTGCCTCCGTTGCTAATGCCACGTCATCTTGCTCACGTCATCCATCATAGACCCAAAACGTTATGCAGCCTCCGGCCTCGTCCCACCCTACCCAGGGACCGGCCAATACTCCAACAGCAAGATCGTATGTGTACCAAAGAAACGGATAGTGCTGGAGCCAAAGGAGTAAGCCTACAAACCAGCTCCGATAACAAATTGGAAGGAAATGAGCAATTCGAATGACAATAAAGTTGAATAAGTAAGCCTACAAACCAGCTCCGATAACAAATTGGAAGGAAATGAGCAATTCGAATGACAATAAAGTTGAATAAGCCTACAAACCAGCTCCGATAACAAATTGGAAGGAAATGAGCAATTCGAATGACAATAAAGTTGAATAAACCAGATTGCATCATTCCATAGGAATGCAGGTAACATAGAGCACAAACTGAAAGCAGATTACACCATGAGATAACAACAAATAAGTAAGAGCAAAGCATCGAAGTCAAACGATAATGAAAGCCCTCTTCTCGCCTCCAACACCAATGTCCACAATGTCGCGCCCCTACTTGGCGCCTGGCTCCCAGACTACGATCAGATGTGACTCCTATCGACCTAGGTCTCTATCCACAACCTGTCATGCATGAAGTACTGCAGCCCGACGACAAATGAAGATACAGAGTGTCGCAGCCCGCTCCACCATCACCAGGTAAGTGCCTCTTCACATCGCCAACACCTCGACTTCCCTATCACATTCCCTCGCCCAAGGACCTCTGCTCAACCTCGTCCGGCTACTGGGTCCAGCAGCCCGGCTATGGCCGCTGCGCCCTCCTGCTGCAGCAACGCAGCTTCTTTCTCTAGCTGCGGCAGTGCCCTTCTTCCTCCCTGGCATGACTCTCGTGAGCAAGCCAACGCTCCAGCAGTGCAGCCGCCGTCCAGCCAGCCAGAATGTGGGAAGTTAGTGAGCCTCACTTGCTTTTGTCCTGTCTGGCTGGGTGATGCAGGCACTGGCTGGGCGGCCTCTATCCCAGTAGCTATGCCCCTGGGCCCTTCCAGAATTTGCCTGGGGCTCAACTCTTAAGTGCCCTGGGTCTCAGCATTTCTGCTGCGCCTCCAGCATCTCGAACCGACCGGGTGACCGGTTGGTGGGAGATGCTGCACACAGCAACCAACCCATGGGCCCATTCAGGCAGGCCCACCTTCACTTTAGGGTGGGCGCAGACAGTTTCAAGAGCGTGCAGGCCCTTTTGCAACCTGGCCGAGGGCCCTTATGCTTCACAGCTGGAAATAAGAATGAAAAATCTCCAGAATTGGGGTACTTGGTATTCTGCACACTCCTCGGGTACGCCCCCTCCCCCCCCCCCACCTTGGGTCCGGGAGGCCAAAGCTGAATTCTCTTACCGCGTTTACCGGCTAGACGCCGAGTTGGGCTTTGGCTGAACTGGTGGTTTAATGAACAAGTAAAGAAGAGTCTGGAGCTCTCGTGTCTTCCTTGACTGATATGCACATACGGCATGTCCAGTTCAATTGTTATGTTTGAGACCAGCTTGTCTAGGCCTGTTGTTTGTTTGGGGGCTTTCCTCTTTGATGGGAGGTGTCTTTGCTGTTCGCTCTTTCATTGCTCACACCGTAAATTGCACAAGTTGGACTTTGTTTTGGAAGCTTTGGATAAGTGTGATCCTCTTTTTCTTGTTTTTGTTTGCAGGATGCACAGAATGCGGTTGCCACACGGGCCCTGTATTCGCTGATAGAGAACCAGCCACTGTACAGAACTCTTCCATCGCCTTATCGTGAAATGTGGCTACGCTGGGATGATCAAGGTCAGGACTGCAACAGCATGTTCTGCTTGTTTTGTTTTTCTTGCTCTTATTTATTTGCCCTCCCTCCTCGTGATGTCAGAGCAGAGAACAACTGTTGTGCAACGTGCTCCCCCCCCCTACCCCCAAATACAACACACTGTGACTGTATTGGACTGGAAAGATAGCTTGTATACCTCTCGTAATTGGGGCACATTGTGTTCGGGGGAAGACGGTGTTTCAATTCCTGTCCACCGGTGTGCTAAGGCAACTGTTGTATCTGATCAGAGAACACAACTCCATTGATCTGACTTATCTGTGTACTGATCTGTGTTGTTGCATGGGGTCTGAGTTCAGGGTTCACTTATGCTTACGTTCGCTTTTCCATCTTGTTTGGGTGTCCTTAGAAGTGATGTAGACCTCTCCCTTAAAAGAAAGAAAAGAAAACAAATTCAGAAAAATGAAAGAAAGGGGAAGTAGACCACGGAGTCACAGACACTATACAGCTGGACAGGAACTGAGCAAGGAACATGCAGATCAGCAGTTTTGGGTGTGTTATGATCAGGCCACAGTATGCTCATTTGTCTGGATGTTTGTAGGTGGGTTTTTGTAGACGCATCCCTGCATCACGTTTTGGTTGGAAAACGGAGGGGGCAGCACCTGGTCGGCCTTGGGCCAGGTACATCCTTGGCCCCTTTTGGGGTGCATTTAGGTTAATTTTGTTTCAGATTTTGAACACCCCATTTGAGTTACATGGCAAGCCCACATCTGGTTTAATCAGCAATTCGAGATCCAGAAGAGAGAGAGAGAGAGAGAGAGAGAGAGAGAGAGAGAGAGAGAGAGAGAGAGAGAGAGAGAGAGAGAGAGAGAGAGAGATTTCTGTCAACAGCGTGCTCGGAATTCGTGACTCATTACGTAGTACATACGCACTGGGATCAAGTAGCACTCGAGTTTCATAATGGAGGTACATTTCTGTTGAGATCGCTCTTGAAAGTAAAAAGAAATTTAAGATTTCGTAATTGGTTACGGCAACTGATTATTCGAGTTTGTAAAAATCTGGAAATTGAAAACATCATGGTAATTGATTGTTTGAACTTGCCAGTCTTGTCATCATCTGTGCTTCCTGAGCATTTTGCCACACACACCTCTGCTGATGTCACATGGGCGAGGTGGTCTTCATGCAATGGTTGTATCCATGTAATTTCTATTCCATGTGTGTGTGTGTGTGTGTGTGTGTGTGTGTGTGTGTGTGTGTGTGTGTAAGTGTTGTCATGTTTGCTATACACAACTCCGCAAAAGAATTGTGACTGTACCTGACTGTCTGGGCGGACTTCCATCGACTTATCAGGAGGTTGAACCCCAACAGTCCCAGGATGCATTTGACTGATGATAAGGACTCACCACGTTGCGCAGAGTTAGCGATACCCCTGAGAAAAGTGGTCGGCTTTACTCGCAACAACTC